CACACACACACACACACACAGATATATATATATATATAGAAAGCATAAAGAAAGCTACTGTTAGAGGCCTTTCTGAGTAGATAACCACTAATAACAATATAACTGAAGAGTAGATTCGAGATGCATTTTTCGCCTGTCAGTGGTTTTCCTTACTGTTTTCTCTTCTTTCGGTGCGGTTTAATAGACTATTGCATGCATTATTTTCCTTTGCTTAAGACCAATTAGCTGTTATCTTACATTTTTAACAGTGATACATTGATCTTACCAGAATAATCGCCGATCTCTTTCCTGCGCATAGACTCTGGCGCGTCAAAATGAATTAGATTCGCTAACTTTGTAATCCCCATGTTAAATTAAAACCGTTTTTGACTTTAAATCGAGCATGTAGGACAGTTGTTATTGTCATTAATCACACAGCTTCATTTCCGTATTGTGCTATAGCTCTCGAGTGGTTGCCGAGGTAACAGAGCGCTGATAGGCCACCGCGACTTCACGTCCCCAACTCGTTTCGCCACTGCAAACAGCCTGACACAGCTCGCTTGCCGTAGACAAAGCTCCAGTGCGAAAATACTTTTGAAAGTGATGCGCGTATGGAAGCAGAGGATGGATAGACTTTGAGTCTGAATGTTTGTGTAAATGTTTTATTAGGTCATCTCGGCCTAAATATTATTATTTTTGTATATAGTAAACGCTCAGTTACCTAGTAAAAAATGGAGCAAGGACTAGAGATGTCAGCAATGATTCCTGCATTGCAAGAACTAGCCAGGTAACATCAATGGCTGCTAATAACGATAGGTTCTCATGTTAAATTCTCTTGTAAAGTGTCCTCAACATAAATATTGAAAAATAAAGCACACACAGGGCCTCTCATGTCTTTTCCAGTGCTAGTTCGGTTGAGTACAACCAAGCTGTACAGAAACCTCGTCAGATACTGTGTCAGTTCATTGACAAGATACTGACAGATGTTGATGTCGGTAAGAAACAATGCATTGGATTTGGGAGTTTGTCGAGGATATTAGTGTTTTTAGGAGAACATCTCACATTCTGTCATTATTTACTCACCCTCATGCTGTTTCAACCATGCTAAATAAATATAATGCAGTTAGGTGGTTGTTGACTTCACATTAAAACAACTTAGCCACGGAACCATCACCTGTGTGTACAGTACAAGCAAAGGTTAAAGAATTATGATGAAAAAAGTGTTCATGTGAAACCCTCTAGAATAGATTATGTGCTGAAAACTATATATTAAACAAATAGTACACATGTATCAATACAAATATTAGATTAAAAGACATTCCTTTCAGATGAAAGTTCTGGGTTCTTGTCACATAAATGTTTTCCTTTGTTTACAATGGCTGCTGATCTAATTTTTATGATCTGAACAGCTAAACACATACACAAAAGTAATACATTAGATGGTAGAGTACATGATGCATAGTTTAAATGTTTAAATATTTAGTTCATAGTAGTGTGTCAGTTGGGGTGCAATGTGATATTAAAAAAGAAAGTTCACCCCAAAATATAAATTCTGTCATTATTTACTTTCTATTCTATCATGATGTTCTGCATAACACAAAAGAAGATATTTTGAAAAAATGATAGTAAACAAACAGTTTTGGGGACCATTGACTGCCATTGTATGGAGGAACAAAAACCACTGAGTCATTTCTCAAAATATTGTTATATTCAACAGAAGAAAGGAAGTTTTCATGGTTTTCAACAACATGCAGATTATGAAATTATGACAGTTTTTCTGATCTGACCCTTTAAAACAAATTAATAGAATATTTGAATCTATTGGAAATTTCTCTTAATCCTTCTCATGCAAATGAGTCTCTTTCCAGTGTAATTTTACTGCTTTTAGTCCATGTTTAGTGTCATGTTTAGTTTTACTCAGTTTTTTCTTTCTCACATTTTAGTTGCTCTGGAGTTATGTAAGAAGACCAGTTCTGAGCCAGCGTGTGTGATGCTGCTGGATTTTGTGCAGCATATTATTAAATCCTCTTCATTAATATTCATAAACCCAGCATGTCTTTCAGATCACTTCAAAAACTCAGAGAATAGCTGCTCTGGTAAGTTCATTTGGTTTACATTAGATGCCAAAGCTCTGCTCAAAGACATCCAGCTTAGATGGTCTGCCTTCATTCTTCCTTCACAGATTTTAGTAAATGGACCATCAACCGCCTCTTGCGAATTGCTGCTTGCCCAGAATGTGAAGATCTTCACGTGAAGATCTCGTCAGTCATCTGTTCCTTGCTTCATCTTTTCAGAGCCAAGGGTCCAGTCCTATTTGGCCTTTTTTCCACAGAGCTAATATGTTTAATGCCAGATCTAGTGCATATGAATCTCATGGTCAGACCATCACCACAGTAGCCAGTGGTGCTGGAACGCTTCTCCATCAGGTCTGGAGATTCTGCCGTTTACCTGACCCCCACCATCCTTAATCTGTCCTCATATGCCTCAGCTCAGGCGTTGTTAGTAACTTCATTAACGGTGCTGACAGATATTTTGCAAGGCCTTTTCTTCCCAAGAGAAGTGGCCATCATATGGGACTCTACTTGCCTTATAATGTCTCATGGGAACCCAAGACTCAAGGCAGCATCCATGGTGCTTTTAACTCGCATTGTGACTCTGGGAGGTTTCCCTGAAGACCATTCACATCCATTTTTCTCTGCTTATTTGCATCTCCTGGACTCCTTGCCTACTTTTGAGGAGTCAGAGCTCGGTGTCTTTGGCAAGGAATTCCAGAAGCTCTCCCAATGTGTTTTCTATCCTGAGGAAGGCACTCACGGCAGGTTTGAGAGAGTTCATGTAAATATGCTGATGGAGAGGCTTGAGAAACTGGTGGTTGGTGGGGCACTGGAGCTTTTGAAGGTAATGGAGGTGAAAGCTACGCTTTGTGAAGTCTTCTGCTTTGTCCTTGAGTTTGTTCCTCTCGGATACGAGTGTGCAGTGCAGATCCGGAAGGAGAGAGTCTCAGCCATTTGCAAAGCTCTGATTAAGACCATTGGAACCCAGGACCAGCAGGAGGTAAAGGGTTAAAGGAGAAGTTTATCAAAAAAAGACAATTATAATTGAAGACAAAACCAAACTTATGTTTTTCCCTATTCTTTTAAGTCTAGTAATAGGTCCAGTCTGTTCCTTACCATACAATGAAAATGAATGGGGACACAACATGTCGAGCTTAAAAAAAAAACAAGATAAAAACAGCATAAAATTGGTTCAGACATCTTTGTGCTATATTAAAAGTTTTAAGTCATACAATATATTGCGAAAAAGACTGACATTTAAAGGGATGGTTCACCCAAAAAGCTAAATTCTGTCATCAATTACTCACCTTCATGTTGTGCCAAAAATAAAAAAAATTGGTACAGTAATCACGGATACTCAACCATTCTTGTCTGAAGCATGAGAACAAACCTAATTTGATCTTATGCATCAAGCAAGGAAACTTGAGCTTCTGTTTTACCTTATTTGATGAGCTCTATGGTTGTGTGTTGATCAAAAGTAGACTTGGATTAAACTACTTGATTCATATGTTTTTTCTTTCGCAATCTCTTTATGAACTTTTTCATAGTTTTGGTCACCTGGACTTTCAATTAAGGGAAATCTCTCTGAAAATCCAATTCAGTTAAGGGACAGAAATCCTTAATTGTGTTTTGAAGATGAAAAAAAAGTCAAATCGTTATTCGCTGACAGTCTTGCCATACGTTAGCTCTCCAGTCTCAAGTCTTAACGTGATGATATGTTGCAGAAAGTAACACATTTTCTGTTGTATGAAATCTAGCAAAGCGTGGAAGGCTACCTGTACGCAGCCCTCAAGACAGAAGCCATTGCTACAGTGCAGGATATACAGGCTGGTGTTTCTGACCCTGCTGATACTAGTATGCATGAAGAGGAGGTTCCAGCCAAACGCCCAAATCTCTCTCTTCCAACCCAGCTAAGGAGTGGGGAAAAAACTCAGCCAATGTATGCAATTCTTTTTCCCCACTCTCCAGATAGACATTCCTTCAGTCTCTCCTCTTACCATGTGTATTCATCTTGTCCACAATTAGACAGGTGGACATGAAGAGCAGAAGTGAGGTGTGGGCAGCTGTAGACAGCCGACTGGATGAGCTACTGACCCAGATGAGGGACCACAGAGCGAGCCAGTGCGTGAGCACCGTGCAGGGACTGGTGCTCATCTTCCATCTGGCTGCACTTTGCTCAAAACACGGACTACAGAGGTACAGATTTATTTAAGACCTTTGTTGTGTTGCATGGTTATTGGTTCTCATTCTTAAATACCTCTTCAGTGGCAGAGGAGAGAAGACATCAGAGACCTCAGATGCAGCGCAGCTCATTTGGTTAAAGCCTCAGATTTTGGCTGAGGTAGTCGAGAGCTGCCGCACCGTGATGGCAAACACCTCTAATGATGAAGATCTAAAGCCTCTGGTGGAGGGTACCATCCGGATCCTTGATGCTGTCCTTTACCTTAACAGTGAGTGTATTTTTTTCACAAGATCCGTATTTATACCTGGGTGCAGGGGCGATTCTATGATTTTCATTTTAGAGGGGTTCATCCCCCAATGAGGGTATAATATATATATATATATATATATATATGCTGCCATTGATATATAATAAAAAATGTTTGACTAATAGGGGTGGTATGCTAAATTTATATACCAAAAAGTGCAGTATTCCATTGTATTGCATAGATAGGTATAACATATAACTGTCAGAGGCTTCCCCTTTCTGCTGCACCACCTAGGAGTCAAATCCTACAGCCTCATCCACGAGGTCCTTCTGTACGTCATCTAAGAGTCACACACTTTGAATCAAAAAAGTGATTCAAATGGCAGACCTGGAAATGTCAGGGAATTTTAAGTTTGTGATTTGATATGGAAATTTCTATTGAGAATATGTACTCTATTTTTAGATTTTAAATTAATTTTAAAAAAATAATCCATATGCATTATATGTGAACTTTTTGCACTTTTGTAAACATTTGAATTCAATAATGCGTTTAGGAACAGACTCCAGGACAGCTCAACACAAGTGAAGACGGAGCTGGCTGGTATTACGGGGCAATAATATGAGAGCTCGCAACTGCAGGTCCCTCAGGAGACGATGCCATCCCATGAGCTGCTCTGTGCTGGTCTCAGCATTTCAGACTCCCACCCCAGCCAGACCTCCTCCATCGGAGCCTCCATCCTCACCCAATTCCTTCTGCTGCTCAAACCTGTGGAGGACAAGAAGGTCAAGCAAGGTCAGTCCAGTCCAGTAGTGTGAACTACAGACCTTATTTTAGGGATTTCACCAAAAATCCATCGACTTCAGGTCAATGGAACTGGAATTACTAAAATGCAAACTTACCATCCCAGCAGCTTTCAGCTTGGAAAGCTTTATCTGTTTTGAGGATTAAAGGGTTACTCCACCCCAAAATGAAAATTTTGTCATTAATCACTTACCCCCATGTCGTTCCAAACCCGTAAAAGCTTCGTTCATCTTCGGAACACAATTTAAGATATTTTGGATGAAAACCGGGAGACTTGTGACTGTCCCATCGACTGCCAAGTAAATTACACTGTCAAGGTCCAGAAAAGTATGAAAGACATCATCAGAATAGTCCATCTGCCATCAGTGGTTCATTCTTAATTTTATGAAGCGACGAGAATACTTTTTGTACGCAAAGAAAACAAAAATAACGACTTTATTCAACAATTCGTCTCCTCCTCGTCACCGTAGCGCCATTTTGGAGAGTATCCGCTGAACGTAAACTCATTACGAAGACGAACGAAGCTTTTACGGGTTTGGAACGACATGGGGGTAAGTGATTAATGACAACATTTTCATTTTGGGGTGGAGTACACTAAGTGCTTAGTCCGAATAATGTAAATAGCTCAATTTGAATCAATTAATTTATAAAATATTACTTACTTTTTTGGTCCTTTTTCTAGTATGTGTTTTGTATTGTAGCCTTTAGAGTGTATATATTATGTGCAAATGCTTTTTAGCTCACAAATCAGTCTTGACTTTTGTCTTTTGAAATGGCAGCTTTCATCAGGAATATACGGCACTTGTTTAAGCATGTGGATCTGGGTAACTGTGACCCTGACACAAAATCTCTGGTTAGCGCATTAGTCAACCTCATTGAAGACCCTGACCAGGAAGTCCGCATAAAGTTCGGCCAAAATATCAAGAATCTTCTGGAGTTTTGGAATGGAAATGGCTTCCTGAAGGAGGTACAGATTTTAAAGTTCAAATTATATTAACATGCTGTAACCATCATCAGCTTTTTGGCACTTAATGTCATTCATTAAGTCATTTAGCAGATGCTTTTATCCAAACTAACTAATGGATGTATTATGATTTTCACAGCTTCTTGTGTCCAGGCTAAAAGAAGCTTATACAAGTGCAAAGACCTCCCGAAACAATGAACTCAAAAACACACTCATATTAACCACTGGAGAAATTGGGAGGTAGTGCGAAATGCTTTTCTTGCTGCTACTTTTAGTATCTGTTGATCCTTCCTGCTGTTAAACGTTTTCATATCAGGTATCAAAAATGCTTTTCTTGCTTATGGTGGTTCTCAGAGCTTCTGAAGGGAACCTGGTGTCTTTTGCTCTGCTTCGTCTTCTGCACTGCCTGCTGTCCAAGTCTAATCCTGTATCGGTAGCAGCCTACACAGAGATCCAGGCTTTGGCCACCTGTAGAGACCTAAAACTGCAGTCCTTCTTCAATCAGTACAGGAACCCAATATACCAGGTCAGTGTGCACTTCTGATAATGCGATGATGTTTTCAATATTAATAATGCTGTGCTTTTATGTGGTGCTATATGTATCAATGTTAGTACCAATATAAGCTGTTCATCACCTTCGAAAAGCTTAAAAACTGTGAGTTAGAAATGGAGAACAGTGTTTAAGTTAAAACGAACTAAACTTTGTGGTCAGTCAAACCTTAGTCCATGTAATAATATGTAATGGGTCTACCTTTTTGTTTATTGCAGTTCTTGGTGGAGTCTTTGCATTCACGACATGTGACGGCTCTGCGCTGCACACCAGATCAGAGCAGCGAGGCTCTGCAGGAGGAAGCGGCTCATCAGAGAGAGCTGGCACTGGACATTCTGTCTCATGTGGCACATGTCTTTGATTTTCCTGACCTTAATCGTTTTCTCAATGTAAGTCCAGCATCTCAATATCAGATTCAGCAAGATCAGCCTCTGACGTAACAGAACAGCCTTAAAGGGATAGTCCACCTAAAAATGAAAATTCTGTCAACATTTATTCACTCTCATGTTGTTCCAAACCCGTATGACATACTTTCCTATGTGGAAGAGAAAAGAAGATATTTTTTAAAAATATTGGTAACCAAATGGTTTCAGGTCCCACTGACTTCCATAGTATGGACAAAAAAAATAATACAATGGCAATGAGATGCAAAACTGTTTGGTTACTATCGTTTTTCAAAATATATTCTTTTGTGTTCCACAGAAAAAGTATACTGGTTTGGAATGACCTGAGGGGGAGTAAATGATGACAGAATTTAGATTTTCTTTACTATCCCTTGGTCATTTGGTCAAATATAGTACAATAAAATGTGAGTAGTCTTGATAGCAATGATAAATTACTCATATAAACTAAACTGTGACTATTAATCGCTAATTTAGGGCTGTGCAATTAATCGAAATTCAGTTTCGATTTCGGCCTCCAACGATTATGAAAATACAGTAATCGAGAGAAAACGATTATTGCGCCCCATTCCGCCCCCTTTCCAGCGGTGCTCTTTCTTTCCACCATAAAAGCTCAATTTCGCGTACAAATCAGTAAAATCATGTAACAAGACTTTTGCAAAATGGGACGTGCTTGATTTATTTAATTTGATTAGATTTATTTATGTTTTTAAAAGCGTGAAAGAGAACTTGTGCTTCCTCGGGAAGATATATGCGCTCAGAGACGGAACATAACACGGACATGTAAAGTCATCTTTTAGTGCCTAAACTGTCAAATACACACAAAAATGTGTCAAAATGCGGCGCTTAGTGATTATTCATGTAAACCCTCGTCGGTTATGTAATAAATGAACGTAAAGAGTTGAGAATGAAAATACTTGTACAACAGTAAATTGGATCCGTGCGGCTCTTAAAGTGACAGCGGGCTAATATTCCTGCTGCCGACTGTGTTCTTTATATTAATCAAACAACAAAAGACAAATTCAAAATCATTCACTGCTCTTGACTGAAGGACTTTTGTAGCTTTAATAAGAAACAAAGGAAGTTTAATTCTTACAGTGAAGACTATGCTGTTTTATTTTTAGCTTCTTTCACCTCCAGTGACGACCCCTACCAGGGCCCAAGAGAAATCACCACCCCAGGACGCATGGTACAGCTGCTCTAATAATAATCATCAGAATAAGGCCCTTGAGTATCTAGCAAATCTTTTACAAACTGATTCAAGCACATATTTTCTACACAGTTGAATGCATTAGAGTCTGTTTTCAGTTTTCTATTATAGTCATTGTTCTGGAAATAATGCCGTCTGTCACGGTACTGTATGTTTGTGCAGGCAGATTATCTGCAGCCCAAGCTCCTGGGCATTCTGGCTTTCTTCAACATGCAGCTATTGAGCTCTAGTGCTGGAGAGAAAGAGAAAAAGAAAATGGTAGGTGTTGAATACAATTTGTCTGGTTTTAATGAGAAACATTGGCTTTCAGAAGCTATGATCTGTTTTACTGCATTATAAACTGATTCTAGGCACAGCATACTGTAATAGTTTTTTTTCTGTCCTCACTGAAAGCAAAATGCTGCAGAAAATGACAAAGCAGTTAAAAATTAAATGTTTAGACCTACTTGTGAACTAAAGCAACCGTTTTTTTACAAATTCTATTTTTTTTGTTCTCAGAGAAAAATAATATGAATCCTTTTATTAAAGAAAATTGAAGAAATGGCTTTTTTTTACTTTAATCACTTTGTCATGTCAACAAGAAAGTAAAGTTCTCCATAAACTCAGGATTTTAAGTATTTAATCTTTATCAGTGTGTGGGTTAAATAGTACAAAGGATCCAGAACTGTAGGTGAAGACTATGCTGTTTTATTTTACATTAGGTTATTCAATATCTCTAGTAGGCTGTTAACTGAATAGCTACTTTAGACTTGCATTAAAAAAACTTAAAGCACAGTTTGTTTCATTTGTATCTTTTTTATTCTATTGTATTCTTTTGCTTTTTTATTACTGGCATTGTATTACTTTGCTTTTTTTAATTACTGGCAGTTTAATTATTTTTAATAATTTTGAGGACCTTTTTTGTTGTTGTTTTTTAACTAATATTAGTTACTCTGGTATTCTGCTGTGGTATTGAGAATTGTGACATTTCGCTGGTCTCTAAAATGTAGATGTCATAGCAACCTTATTTACAGAAAATGTATATTTGATATATAACACTATCTTTAAATAAATCTATCATATAAAGTTTTGGTCATTATTGTATTCTTTCGCTTTTTTATTACTGGCATTGTATTCCTTTGAGGACCTTTTTTTGATTGTTTTTTTTAACTAATATTAGTTACTCTGGTATTCTGCTGTGGTATTGAGAATTGTGACATTTCGCTGCTCTCTAAAATGTAGATGTCATAGCAGCCTTATTTACAGAAAATATATATTTGATATACATCACTATCTTTAAATAAATATTTCATATAAAGTTTTGGTCATATGGCCCACTAATAATCGTTTTAAATAATCGTGATTACAATATTGACCAAAATAATATGATTTTTGTCATAATCAAGCAGCCCTACATTCACTCCCCCCACCTACAATCCCTGTCGGACCTGAGACTCGAACCTGCTGTAATGAGGATTCAGTGACGTTGGGATCCATGTGCAGCTTTATTAACAACCAGACAGGCAAAGTTCAATCAACAGTATACAGGGGTAACGTAGGCAAGGCATCATAATCGAGCAGCCCTACGCTAATTTGACTGAAGTAATGAGCTTTCTCTATCTCTTTGTTCACAGCGGACACTACAGGTCCTTCTTCCCTTTTTGGCAGCCAAGGCCAGTCCTACAGCTTCTGCCCTGATCCGCACTATTGCCAAGCAACTGAATGTCAACCGCAGAGAAATGCTCATCAATAACTTCAAATATATATTCTCCCATCTTGTGTGTTCCTGTACCAAGGAGGAGCTGGAGAGAGCCTTTCACTACCTTAAGGTGGGATTTTCACATTATGAAATCAGGAGATGAGCAGTGAGGAAAAAGACAAATAGAAAGAGAATGGTTACAAAAGAAGTGTATATATATATATTTAAAAAATGTACTCTATTATGGCTTAGAATTTTCATTTACTACTTTATATATATATACTTTTTAAGACTTATTTACTTGTTTGCTTGTTTTCATTTATTTATTAGAAATATATGTATAGGTAATATTTATTTTTTATTTAATAAATATTTTGTTTCACAGAATGAAACCGAAATTGAATTGGGCAGTCTGCTGAGACAGGATTTCCAGGGTCTTCATAATGAGCTGCTCTTGCGTCTAGGAGAACACTACCAGCAGGTCTTTAATGGACTTGCTATTTTAGCTTCTTTCACCTCCAGTGACGACCCCTACCAGGGCCCAAGAGAAATCACCACCCCAGGACGCATGGTACAGCTGCTCTAATAATAATCATCAGAATAAGGCCCTTGAGTATCTAGCAAATCTTTTACAAACTGATTCAAGCACATATTTTCTACACAGTTGAATGCATTAGAGTCTGTTTTCAGTTTTCTATTATAGTCATTGTTCTGGAAATAATGCCGTCTGTCACGGTACTGTATGTTTGTGCAGGCAGATTATCTGCAGCCCAAGCTCCTGGGCATTCTGGCTTTCTTCAACATGCAGCTATTGAGCTCTAGTGCTGGAGAGAAAGAGAAAAAGAAAATGGTAGGTGTTGAATACAATTTGTCTGGTTTTAATGAGAAACATTGGCTTTCAGAAGCTATGATCTGTTTTACTGCATTATAAACTGATTCTAGGCACAGCATACTGTAATAGTTTTTTTTCTGTCCTCACTGAAAGCAAAATGCTGCAGAAAATGACAAAGCAGTTAAAAATTAAATGTTTAGACCTACTTGTGAACTAAAGCAACCGTTTTTTTACAAATTCTATTTTTTTTGTTCTCAGAGAAAAATAATATGAATCCTTTTATTAAAGAAAATTGAAGAAATGGCTTTTTTTTTACTTTAATCACTTTGTCATGTCACAAGACAAGTAAAGTTCTCCATAAACTCAGGATTTTAAGTATTTAATCTTTATCAGTGTGTGGGTTAAATAGTACAAAGGATCCAGAACTGTAGGTGCTCTTGAGAAAACTTAGTACTTGACGTAGCAAGATTATTCTATAGACATTATGTCAGTAAATTTCTGACCTTTTTTCTCCACTCAGGCTCTGAACAGTTTAATGGCCCTGATGAAGCTAATGGGTCCAAAGCACATCAGCTCAGTCCGAGTGAAGATGATGACAACACTCAGAACTGGCCTGAGGTACAAGGACGACTTCCCAGAGCTCTGCTGCAGGTGTGTTTCTCGTTGAGTGGTGTGAATGCACAGAAGAAGCTGTGCAAACAGGTTACGAAGAGTATCAGAAGCACCATATGCATGAGAGTGCTGCTGATAAGATCCAGATTGTTCTTTAATTACTGCAGTGAGCTCAGCAGGACACCAGATTTGCATTTTTGCATTATATTTTAAGGTTTAAGCTCAGCAAGAACCATCTGTATCTAATATGCAGTCAGGACAGAGGATGAAATTGTAATTGTACTTTAACCACAAAATAACAAGGATATGGGTTTTATTGTTATCTTGTTGGTTTACAGGACGTGGGACTGTTTCGTGTGCTGTCTTGACCCGTCTTATCTGGGTCCGCTTCTGAGTCATGTAATCGTTGCTCTATTACCTCTCATCTCCATCCAACCTAAAGAGACGGCAGTGATCATGCACTACCTCATAGTGGAGAACAGGTGTGTGTCATTCCTCCTTTCTCTTTTATGTCGTAGGTTAGATTGTTTTATTTCTCTAAAGGTTTTTGATGGTTTTTAGATGTTTTTATTAGTGCTGTCAAACAATTAATCGCATCCAAAATAAAATATTTTGTTTACATAATATATGTGTGTGTACTGTGTATATTTATTATGTCAATATAAACACACACATACTGTACATGTATGTTTAAGAAAAATATGTTATGTTTATATATTAAATATATTTATCTGTAATATAAATTATATAAATATATACATGTAAATACATGTAAGTATTTTAAAAATATATACTGTATGTGTGTGTATTTATATAAATATACACAGTACACACACATTATGTAAACAAAAACTTTTATTTTGGATGCGATTAATCGCGATTAATCATTTGATAGCACTAGATAGTTGTTATTTCTTAATGTGTTGACAACATACTCATTAAAGGGGTCATATGATGTGATTTCAAGTTTTGCTTTCTCTTTGGAGTGTTACAAGCTGTTTGTGCGTAGATAAGATCCCTAAAGTTGCAAAGACTAAAGTCTCAAACCCAAAGAGATATTCTTTATAAAAGTTAAGACTCGTCCACGCCCTCCTAAAACGCCTCGTTTAAACACTAATCAATAACTTCAAATATATATTCTCCCATCTTGTGTGTTCCTGTACCAAGGAGGAGCTGGAAAGAACCTTCCACTACCTTAAGGTGTAAATTTCATATTATGAAATCAGGAGAGTAGTGAGGAAAGTGAGGAAAAAGACAAATTAGATATACAAAATAGATATATTAACACTGATTACTGTCACACTTTTGAAATCCTTCATCACTTGAATTAAGATTATATTTCCATTTTAAAGTAGGCATTGGATGCAAAATTCACTTTTACATGTTGTTTGCATATAAATGTATCTATGTGGACACAACCACCCTACAATGATAAAAATCTATTCACTCCTTTTTTTTTAATCCCCCAAAATCCTAAACAGTCTCAATTATCAAGCCGTTTTGATTTT